AGCATGTTAGCTAACCCTTCCCATAACCCTAACCATAACCTTAACCCAGTCACTACAACGATACAGGCGTCCTTCCTAACTCATTTGCCAGAGGGGAAGGTATTTCACCATGAGGCCAATGGTGACTTTAAAACTGTTACAGAGTTTAATGGCTGTGATAGGAGAAAACTGAGGATGGATCAACAACATTGTAGTTACTCCACAATACTAACCTAATTGTCAGATTGAAAAGCCTGTACAGAATAACAATATTCTAAAACATGCATCCTGTTTGCAACAAGGCAATAAAGTAATACGGCAAAAAATGTGGCAAAGCAATTAACTTTTTGTCCTGAATACAAAGTGTTCTGTTTGGGGCAAATCCAATACAACACATTACTGAGTACCACTCTTCATATTTTCAAGCATGGTGGTGGCTGCATCATGTTATGGGTATGCTTATAATCATTAAGGACTGGGGAGTTTTTCAGGATAAAAAATAAACAGAATGGAGCTAAGCACAGGCAAAATCCTAGAGGAAAACCTGCTTCAGTCTGCTTTCCACCAGACTCTAGGAGATGAATTCACCTTTCAGCAGGACAATAACCTAAAACACAAGGCCAAATCTACACTGGAGTTGCTTACCAAGAAGACAGTGAATGTTCCGGAGTGGCCGAGTTACAGTTTTGACTTAAATCTACTTGAAAATCTATGGCAAAACCTGAAAATGGTTGTCTAACAATGATCAACAACAAATTTGACAGAGTTTGAAGAATTTTGAAAAGAATAATGGGCAAATGTTGCACAATCCAGGTGTGGAATGCTCTTAGAGACTTACCCAGAAAGACTCACAGCTGTAATCGATGCCAAAGGTTCTTCTACAAAGTATTATACAACGGGTGGGTCTAATACTGAATGCTGATTGGTTAAAACCACATTCCAGCCGGTGTCTATTCCACAAGTTACCACCGGCTAAATCTAGGACGTTAAAATGCCTATTTACTCTGTTCCATCTGACTGCGCAATCCACTGTCTCATCAACCCAGCCAGGCAATTTATAAACTTGATCTCCACTATAAAAAGCATCTAGACATTATCTCACATTTCTTTTAGACTAACATTTAGTTTTCAACAGCGGAGATTTGTATAAACCTTGCTGTCTGTCTCTCCGACATTTGCAACATTGTTTCAATATTCAAATTCGATCTCCTGCTGTCCCATAGTAATGAAGGTGTCGGGAGTCGGGACAAGACAGACCGGATGGCAGCGTTTCTCAGCCAGTCTAAATCATGAGTCAGCTGGCATCATTTTCATGGATATATAGAAAAGTCAAATTAAATGAAGTGCTGCTAGTTTGCAATCTTTCCAGAGAGAGCACATTTTCTATGCCAGGCGAAATCGCGCCTCATTAGCTCATTGTTATGGATGTATCCAAATAAATTACACTAGAAAGCAACTTAAACAAATGCAAATGAAGCTACTTTGCTGTTTTCTGTCTGCACTGTTTGACGTGACTGTAAGTTAGCCGTAGTTGGCTAGCTAGCAAGCAAGGGATAAGAACATTGCCAGCCAGTATGGCGATGGAACATTTAGAACTAACGACTGGGTCACGTCCATAGATACAGAACAAAAAGACTGAACAACTGGGTCGAGTCTCTGGCAACCGAACCGATAGAATGTACGACCAGCCGGCTTGGGTAGCAACCCTGGATTTGTGTCGGGACTATATCTTGTGGAAGGATCAAATAGTATGAATAAATTCATCAAAATAATGTTTTTAATGAAAATATGTCAATCATTATTTGACTATGTTGGTAACCCGTTGTACAAAAGTGATAATGCCCTTGAAGCCGGTGTTTGGAGGAGACTTCGTCTCGGGCCTAACAACACCGCGTTCTCGGGCATTATCACTTAATTGAATCAGGGGTGTGAATTTGATATTTCTGTCATTAATTTTCAATAAATATGGGGTATTGTGTGTGTGTGTATATGGGTGAGAAAAAAATATATTTAATCCATTTTGAGTTCAGGCTGTAACACAACTAAATGTGGTCTAAGCCGAGTGGCGCAGTGGTCTAAGGCACTGCATCGCAGTGCTAGCTGTACCACTAGAGATCCTGGTTCGAATCCAGGCTCTGTCGTAGCCGGCCGTGACCGGCTACGACAGAGCCAGCGTCGTCCAGGGTAGGGGAGGGAATGGCCGGCAGGGATGTAGCTCAGTTGGTAGAGCATGGCGTTTGCAACGCCAGGGTTGTGGGTTCGATTCCCACGGGGGGCCAGTATGAAAAATATAATGTATGCACTCACTAACTGTAAGTCGCTCTGGATAAGAGCGTCTGCTAAATAACTAAAATGTAGATGATGTAAAATGAATAAGTCAAGGGGTATGAATACTTTCTGAAGGCACTGTAGGTCCATTATAACAGTTTCGATTTGGTAGATTTTTGTATTTTTCTCAAACCACCCTCAGGCCGGATTGGACCCCCTCGCGGGCCGGATCCGGGCTGTATGTTTGACACCCCTGACCTAGATTCAATCAGATCAAGCATTAACCCACGCTAACCGACACCCGCACAGCTGGTGTTTTGGCGGTGTCATAGCCGGTAACTGCGTTGGAGCTGTCAAATCAGTGAGCAGCTGCTCGTGTGGTCATTGTCACAAAGCCACACCCGTCCCACTCACGTTAGAAGTTCAGAACTAGAAAGTGTGGGCTATATAGAAATAATGAAACTCAAATTGAAAATCATTCAACAAAACATTTCAGCCTAATCGATGTGTAGATTTGTATCACACATTCCAGTGTTGGAACTTGTAAACATGGCTACATGGGATTTCTACTAATGTGCCACTATCCGCAATAAGTATGATGCCAAGAGCCACTTGTGGATTGACTCTAACGCAGTTCCACCTACGACACCGTCAAAACAACAGCTAAGCAGGTGTCGGCATTGAATCTAGCCCCCCCCCCCCCTTCCCCCTCAGTGCGGTGGAGCAGGGTACAGGAATGCTGGAGCTGGACTGTCACCTGACCCGGGACAGTCATGTGATCGTGTCACATGACGAAAACCTCCTGAGGCAGACCGGCCATGATGTCACCATCTCCTCCCTAAACCTAGAGGTCAGAGGTCAAATGTTTATTAAAACCATAGAAATAAAATGTAAAACTCCCCGTGATTGTTGCTCTTTGTTACCATAGCTATTCTGACCATAATGTGTATGTATTATAATGTGAATACATGTTTATAAGCTGTTTATGAGCTTTTATAAGCTGTTCCATACAGCTTATTAAGACAGTAGTGAGACAGTTCATTCATTTTGTAGAATAAAATACTAATTGTGTTTTCTTTTCAGGAGTTACCCCTGTATAAGGACAGACTGGAGGTCACGTTTTATGCAGGTATCTACTGTAGCACATACACACACATACACTATATGGCCAAAAGTGGTCGTCGAACATCTCATTCAAAAATCATAGGCATTAATATGGAGTTGGTCCCCCCTTTGCTGCTATAACAGCCTCCACTCTTCTGGGAAGGCTTTCCACTAGATGTTGGAACATTGCTGCGGGGACTTGCTTCCAATCAGCCACAAGAGCATTAGTGAGGTTGGGCACTGAAGTTGGGCGATTAGGCCTGGCTCGCAGTCGGCGTTCCAATTCATCCCAAAGGTGTTCGATGGGGTTGAGGTCAGGGCTCTGTGCAGGCCAGTTAAGTTCTTCCACACCGATCTCGACAAACCATTTCTGTATGGACCTCGGTTTGTGCACGGGGCATTGTCATGCTGAAACATGAAAGGGCCTTCTCCAAACTGTTGCCACAAAGTTGGAAGCACAGATTTGTCTAGAATGTCACTGTATGCTGTAGCGTTAAGATTTCCCTTCACTAGAACTAAGGGGCCTAGCCCGAACCATGATAAACAGCCCCAGGCCATTATTCCTCCTCCACCAAACTTTACAGTTGGCACTATGCATTGGGGCAGGTAGCATTCTCCTGGCAACCGCCAAACCCAGATTAGTCCGTCGGACTGCCAGATGGTGAATTGTGATTCATCACTCCAGAGAACGTGTTTCCACTGCTCCAGAGTCCAATGGCAGCGAGCTTTACACCACTCCAGCCTACGCTTGACATTGCGCATGGTGATCTTAGGCTTGTGTGTGGTTGCTCGGCCATGGAAACCCATTTCCCCATGAACAGTTCTTGTGCTTATGTTGCTTCCAGAGGCAGAGTGTTGCAACCGAGGACAGACGATTTTTACGCACTTCAGCACTCTGTGTTCCCATTCTGTGAGCTTGTGTGGCCTACCCCTTGGCGGCTGCGCCGTTGTTGCTCCTAGATGTTTCCACTTCACAATAACAGCACTTACAGTTGACCGGGGCAGATCTAACAGGGCAGAAATTTGAGGAACTGACTTGTTGGAAAAGGGTATCCTATGGCGGTGCCACATTGAAAGTCACTGAGCTCTTCAGTACGAGCCATTCTACTGCCAATGTTTGTCAACTGGAGATTGCATGGCTGTGTGCTTGATTTTATATACTTGTCAGCAACGGGTGTGGCAGAAATAGCCAAATCCACTTATTTTAAGGGTGTCCACATACTTTTGGTGATATAGTGTATGTCTCGATCAGACCGACAGCGTCATTGCATCAATGCTATGTAATAAATTCAATATTCAAACTTTTTTAATTATGTAATCCAATGTTTTTTTGTGGCTATGTGTGCAACAAAAGTTCAACACATTTTGCTACTATTTCTGTCAAGTCTAAGCATACAATTGTATGTATACGTTGCACTATACAGAACGCACTGCAACTGCCTCTGCAACGCAATGCTGCAAGGCAAATGTAGCATTCCATTGGAAATTAATGTACTTCTGGTGTACCAAAATGCAAAGGCGCTGTCGGTCTAATCGAGGCAATACACACACAGAGAGACACACACACACACCCTGAATCATCCACCATACTTCTCTGACAGAAGTGGGTCGATGGCATAGACAAATGCTCCTTGTGAAGTTTTGTACCTATGTGTGTGTGTGCGTACGTATGTATATTCACTGCCCCACCCTTCTCCCTCCCATCCTCTCCCTTTCGTCCCTCCGTTCCAACACCAGGCCGCTACAGCACCGGTACAGACAGGAAGTTCACCCTATTGGAGGAAGTGTTCAGGAAGTTTCCTAAGATGCCAGTCAACATCGAGATCAAAGAGGACAACAGCTTGCTGATTGAGAAAGTACAGGACTAAGCTGAATTGAATCAAATCCAACTTTATTTCAACTTTACATTGTTTTAAAGTGACCCAACTGAGCTGAATCCAATTAAATTCAACATTATTTACAGAATATACTTTATTAATAAAGTTAAATATATCAAAATCAAAGTTATAGATATAGCAGCAATGAACGGGGTTCACAGGATTACAGAAAGGACACAAGATAGTTGGATAACAAAGCAAGCAGTCTATCATACACACAAAAAAAAAAAATGTATGCACGCATGACTGTAAGTCGCTTTGGATAAAAGCGTCTGCTAAATGGCATATTATTATTATTATTATCATGTAGGAACTATCTTCCTTTATGTGCAATCAGTGAAAGCTTTACCATGGTTATCTCTCAATACCACAAGGACGACGACATCTATTGTGCCACTAACTGGTCTGGTGCAGCAATCCAATGTTACAGTGACTTTATAGTCACACAGCTTCTAAGGACATATACACTGGTTTACATACCAAATTTCATGGCCCCATGTCCATCGGTTCAGTTCTTATAGCCTTGGTGTGATATGGTGCCATCTAGTGGTGTAACGTGGCCGTCTTTGAATGCAGCAACTGATCATTCTCATTTTTTACATTGACATTTTAGTCATTTAGCAGACGCTCTTATCCAGAGCGACTTACAGTTAGTGAGTGCATACATTTTCATACTGGCCCCCCGTGGGAATCGAACCCACAACCCTGGCGTTGCAAGCGCCATGCTCTACCAACTGAGCTACACGGGGCCTATTCATTAGAGGCTAATTCATTGAGTCTATACCAAATCTGGAGTTAAATCTGATTCATGGTTCGTGAGAAGAAGATTTGAAAAGTATTTTTAGCATTAGCATATGTGCTAACGTGTATTTATAGGTACAGTGCAGCCATATTTGAATGCAGCAACTAAAACCATTAAAGACTGATGTAATGAGTCTAAATACAAAATCTGGACTGAATCTGACATATGGTTCTTGAGGAGAAGATGATTGCAGATGATTTTGAGCATAAGCGTTACATATGCAGAATGAGTTGTTAATAGTTTCCTTGTTTTTTTAGATATCAATACCAATTTCAGTGTAATTCATCTTAGAGTCCTTGATATCCTGACGGGCCTTATGGGTCCTTGAGGCAAATTTGTTCAGCATGAGGAAAGACACCTAGGTCAAACAGGGCGGCGGATATGAGGGTTTATGTGAGACCGCTTATAACAGTGCCACCTATAGGCCAATCGGTACCATTTATTTTGCCCAATTTTACTCATGGTCTCTAGTTTCTGTGTGCCAAATTAGAAAAAAAGTTGGCAATCTATGCTTGAGTTATTTGACCATGTCAAGGAAAAAATTATCTAAGAATAACCATAGGTTTCACAGCTTTGCTGAATGGCTAAGTCACAGACAACGAATAACTCCTCTCACCCTTTCTCTCCCTTTCTGCCCCGGTCTCCAAACATCTCTCTTCCGTCTCTCTCTTCCATTTCTCTCTCTCTCGCTCCATACCTCCTTCTGTCTCTCTCAGGTGTCCAACTTGGTGAAACAGTATGATAGAGAGAACCTCACAGTGTGGGCGACTGCAGACTCTACCATTATGAACAAGTGCTGCAGAACTGTAAGTGTCAACTAGGGGGAAATACAATAAACTGAACCAGGGATCTCTAACTCCAACTCCTCTCCTAGGGAGAGATTTATTTTCTTGCACTCTCTCAACCCACCCTCTCTCTCTTCCCTGTCCCTCCTGCTCTCTTCCATCCTCTATCTCTCCTCCCCTCTCTCTCTCTCTCTCTCTCTCTCTGCTCTCCCTCTCTCCTTGTAGAACTCCACCATGCCCTATAGTTTCAGTATGAGACGAGGGCTGCAGCTGCTCCTCCTTTACTACAGCGGCCTGCTGCCCTTTGTACCGCTGGGAGAGAGCTTCCTGCAGTTCTACCTGCCCCGCATTTTCAACAGGTAGGTGTGTGTGTGTGTGTGTGTGTGTGTGTGTGTTTGTGTGTGTACGCGCGCATATGTGTTTTTTTGCGTATGGGTTCCAAAGTTAACATGCTGATACAGTACCCATCTGACTTCACCATCATCTGACTTCACCATCATCTGACTTCACCATCATCTGACTTCACCATCATCCGACTTCACCATCATCTGACTTCACCATCATCTGACTTCACCATCATCCGACTTCACCATCTGTTCACTTCTCGTTCACATCATCTGACTCAACATCATCTACTTGCACCATCATCTGACTTCACCATCATCTACTTCACCATAATTGACTTCACCATCATCCAAACTTCCACTTCCATACTAAACTCAACCATCATCTGACTTAAACCACTGCAAAGGTGTGTTGTCACAGTTTATCTTAAATGCACAGGATTGTGGACCAGACTTTCTATTGTTCTAATCTGTCATGGCAACCCTGTGTTTCGTTATGCGCGCTGTGTGTTCTGCCGTGCTGTTGTGCGTGCTTGTTCGTAATTGTACTGTATGCTTCTAATCTCATTCTATTGATGCCGGACATATATTCCTGAGGAGCGTCTTCTGAAGAACAGAAGGTCTCTATCTGTTAAAAAAGGGGGTCATTTATTACAGTAAAAAAGATTTCCCTTTCCTTACTAAAAAAAAAGCCCCTATACAAGCTTTGGAAAGTTTAAACCCCCGCAAATGTTTATGTTTTTCCAGATTAACGATGAGGAAGAGTCTATTCAAACATCTGGTCAACAGAGGAATTCAGGTACAGAGCAACCATCATCATTATCATCATCATTATCATCATCATTATCATCATCATTATCATCATCATTACTATTATCATCTTAATCATCATTTTCGTTACTGCCGTCACTTCCTAGCCCCTTCTGCTAACTTCTACCGCTTCAGTATGTCATGGGCTTTCAGTAGGCTCAGCAGAGCTCCTGTTACATCCCACTTTCTCTTATCTAGCCCTTTAAGAACTGTAGACTCTGAGGGTGTAGGGCAAGGGGCAAACATAGGAGGGGGTCCAATCCAGCCCAATTTTAGTGCAATTTCTCTGTTATACTGATCTATAATGGGCTTATGGATGATTAGTGGGCAACGGCCGGCCCCCCAAGATGGGTCGGCCGGGTTTTCTGATAGACTGAAGTCACGCAAACTCATATTCAAAGTCAAACGCGGCATCAGCAAAGAGACCTGCTCCGACTCTGTCATCAGTTAGATAGCCAAGATCATGGGTCGTAAAAAACGGAAAGGGTGCCTATAAACGTAGAAAGGGCACATTCTACATTGTCACCTCACTCAAAACGTCCTATTTATTGGGCAGCTAAAACCATGATTTGGTCAAACAGTAAAGTACATTATCCTCATGAAGTTTCCACTTCTTCAGGTGTTGAACCCCACATTAATTAGTTTAGGATATTAGTTAGTGCACATAAACATGTATGTAATTCATCTCTATTGAACAAATATAAATCTGGAAATTCTGGAGTCCTATTTTGACAATAAACCCCAAATTCATGACAATCACTGAATTAGCACATAAAAATATCTTAACATGCATTCCTGCTTGGACGTGAATACCTCAGTAGTCTATTTATTATCCTTCTTAATAAAGCACTACGAATGACTTTATAACATGATTACTCATGATTTGGGTCCGACCACCAACTGTAAAAGTAAGTGGCACCAGTGTAAAATGATAGTCTGGAAGCCTGTAATAGAAATTAATAGGATAGGTGTTGATTCAGGGGAAAAACATATGAAAGGCACTCATTTGCAATATAGGCTAAGGCCTAGATTCAATCAGATCAAGCGTTAACCGGCGATAGCTGCACTGCTGATGTTTTGGCGGTGTTGGAGGTGTAACAACGTTGGAGCTGTCAAATCGGTGTGCAGCTGCTCTTGATTATTGTCACAAAGCCACACCCGTCCCACTCACGTTAGAAGTTCAGAACAAAAAAGTGTAGGCTATATAGAAATAATGACGCTCATATTGAAAATCATTAAACAAAATAATGAGGGTTTCTATCAGCCAAATCGAAGTGTAGATTAACATCTCAAATTCCAGTGTTCGAAATTATAAACAAGGCTGCATGGGATGCGACTCCGTGCAGCCAATGACAATGTCTGCTTTAGGTATAATGCCAGGAGCTGCTTGTGGATTTGACAGCTCTAACACAGTTCCGACATTGCCAAGACAACTGCTATGCGGCTGTTGGCTAAAGCAGAAGAAGCACAGAGGAACAGCAGAGAAGATGCTGAGACAGAGACACACACAACAGGGAGGCAAATAAAATAGCTAGAGCAGAGGCACAGTTATAGTGGTGAGTTGTATCTCCAGTGGTGCTTTTACATACAGTGGGGGAAAAAAGTATTTAGTCAGCCACCAATTGTGCAAGTTCTCCCACTTAAAAAGATGAGAGGCCTGTAATTTTCATCATAGGTACACGTCAACTATGACAGACACATTGAGATTTTTTTTCTCCAGAAAATCACATTGTAGGATTTTTAATGAATTTATTTGCAAATTATGGTGGAAAATAAGTATTTGGTCACCTACAAACAAGCAAGATTTCTGGCTCTCACAGACCTGTAACTTCTTCTTTAAGAGGCTCCTCTGTCCTCCACTCGTTACCTGTATTAATGGCACCTGTTTGAACTTGTTATCAGTATAAAAGACACCTGTCCACAACCTCAAACAGTCACACTCCAAACTCCACTATGGCCAAGACCAAAGAGCTGTCAAAGGACACCAGAAACAAAATTGTAGACCTGCACCAGGCTGGGAAGACTGAATCTGCAATAGGTAAGCAGCTTGGTTTGAAGAAATCAACTGTGGGAGCAATTATTAGGAAATGGAAGACATACAAGACCACTGATAATCTCCCTCGAGCTGGGGCTCCACGCAAGATCTCACCCCGTGGGGTCAAAATGATCACAAGAACGGTGAGCAAAAATCCCAGAACCACACAGGGGGACCTAGTGAATGACCTGCAGAGAGCTGGGACCAAAGTAACAAAGCCTACCATCAGTAACACACTACGCCGCCAGGGACTCAAATCCTGCAGTGCCAGACGTGTCCCCCTGCTTAAGCCAGTACATGTCCAGGCCCGTCTGAAGTTTGCTAGAGTGCATTTGGATGATCCAGAAGAGGATTGGGAGAATGTCATATGGTCAGATGAAACCAAAATAGAACTTTTTGGTAAAAACTCAACTCGTCGTGTTTGGAGGACAAAGAATGCTGAGTTGCTGAGTTGCTGAGTTGCATCCAAAGAACACCATACCTACTGTGAAGCATGGGGGTGGAAACATCATGCTTTGGGGCTGTTTTTCTGCAAAGGGACCAGGACGACTGATCCGTGTAAAGGAAAGAATGAATGGGGCCATGTATCGTGAGATTTTGAGTGAAAACCTCCTTCCATCAGCAAGGGCATTGAAGTTGAAACATGGCTGGGTCTTTCAGCATGACAATGATCCCAAACACACCACCCGGGCAACGAAGGAGTGGCTTCGTAAGAAGCATTTCAAGGTCCTGGAGTGGCCTAGCCAGTCTCCAGATCTCAACCCCATAGAAAATCTTTGGAGGGAGTTGAAAGTCCGTGTTGCCCAGCGACAGCCCCAAAACATCACTGCTCTAGAGGAGTGCATGGAGGAAAGGGCCAAAATACCAGCAACAGTGTGTGAAAACCTTGTGAAGACTTACAGAAAATGTTTGACCTGTGTCATTGCCAACAAAGGGTATATAACAAAGTATTGAGAAACTTTTGTTATTGACCAAATACTTATTTTCCACCATAATTTGCAAATAAATTCATTAAAAATCCTACAATGTGATTTTCTCATTTTGTCTGTCATAGTTGACGTGTACCTATGATGAAAATTACAGGCCTCATCTTTTTAAGTGGGAGAACTTGCACAATTGGTGGCTGACTAAATACTTTTTTCCCCCACTGTATTGTATTTGTTTTAAACATGAGCTGGTTAAAAAAGAGGAGGAGGACCATGTTTTGCCAGTCACTGGTACAGAAATGGTTGGACTATTTTTTGCAAATTTTGACGGCGAGGACATAAAACCAATTTTCAGTGCGGCGCTCTTCAACTTGTTGAAGACCGAATGCGCCCCCGGGTCAAAATGAGTTTGACACTCCTGGTGAAGGGACAGGTGACTGAAATAGAACCAAGGTCATGTTAATTTGAGAACACCGTAGAAAAACGTTGTGCAACGAAAAATGAAAATGAGCATTTCTCATTGAATGTTAAGATATTTCAACTCCCTGTTTCACTTTGTTTTGGACAATTTTCTTCTGTTTTGTACCTAATGAACACGACCCAGCCCTCTCACTCATATCCACCCACATTAAAAAAATACTATAGTAATTATTGTAGTGTTTTTGCGGATTTTAGTATACTGTAGTAATCACTGTAGTGTTTTTGCAGAATGTACTATACTGTAGTATTTACTATAGTGTTTTTGTTTTATTATCTTTGACATAGAAGTGGAGGCTTTCTCCTTGAGGAAACCTACTGGAGAAATAAATACTAAAAGAGCAAATTTTCCATAACCTGTAGGTAGGTAGGTAGGACTGGGGTCTGAATGAATAGTTCAGAGCTTCTGCTCTTTTCTATAACCTGTAGGGAACACAATATATGGTCTACACATAGCATGTAGGTTTCTCACTTACAATGCATTCGGAAATTATTCCGACCCCTTCACCTTTTCCACATTCAAATCAGCCTTTAATTTCCTTGCACCTTACGTGTGGAATGATCTACAATACACTTTAAAATTGGAGGAATTGGTGCCTCAATGACATTTCAGACAGTTGTTAGGGGACCTTTTTACTGAGGAATGTATCTGTTTTTTATTTTGTGTTTTAATTTTTGTGTATATAATAACGTGTATTTATTGTTTATGAATGTGTAGTTTAATGTGTTTATTGTATTTTGTATTGTGGCGCTTATACAGGGCTCATCTGGAAAAGAGACATTGGTCTCATCATTGACTCCCTGTCAAAATAAAGGTTAAATAGAAAAATTGTATTTACTATAATTAAAGTGTTTTTGCGGACTATAGTGTTTCTGCAGACATTACTGTAGTATTTACTACAGTGCTTATTTTTGCGGATAATACTGTAGTATTCACTATAGTATTCTACAGTATACTACAACATTCTAAAGTAAAATTACTACACATGATCAAGGGATACTACAGTGTGTAGTACAGTATTCTACAGTATACAAAAGTTTACTATAGAATTCTATAGTAAGTACTGTAGTATTTTAAAGTAAGCTGTAGTATTTTTTCATGTAGGATAACTGACGTCTGGCCCTCTCTGTCTTCAGGTGCACCTGTTCGTCTGCAACGAGGATCCGGACATCGAGGTGGCGTTCGAAGCAGGAGCCACAGGCGTCATGACAGACTACCCCACCCTCCTGACTAACTATCTACACAGACACAGGAGTCAAGATTGACAGCCCAAACCTCCAATCAAACTACTGATTCCCAAACAGGGTTCTTGACTGCAGCTCAAGCTACCTATCAAGAGACCTCCACTCGTACGTTGTTTATCACTGAAAGAACCACACTGAAATCACAATTTTCCTTCACAACTCCAGTCTCCAGCAATGAGCAAAAGGACAGTTCTGTGAGGAAGTTGCCTGAAAAGCACAGATCCAAGACCGCGTAACTTTCCCAAATCCCAACCTTAACCAATAGAGGAAAAAACACAAAACCAACCTCTGATCAATGTCTTTAGGCAACTTCATTCCATCTACACAAAAGGATGTCACTTACACTTACTGTCTTTTGGTTAATGGATTGTGGCCAAATATTAACACACTGTTCACCTCTCTCTGCAACCTTCCCAAACCCTAATGGATCTATCAGGGGCTGTCTGGATGTTGTTGGGGGGAAAAGTGATTATTTAAGTCTATATCCTTGACGTTCTCTCATGTTATGACATTTACATAATAGAACTGACTTTTGGGGTCTTTATGACAGGCTATACAAGTAGTATGTTTATCAATGTAAAGATGATTTAAATAAATACTTGTATTGTTTTAAGTGTTCTCAAGACCAGCCTCCATTTGTTTATACCACCGGAAAATAATGGCTTCCCACACACACACACACACACACACACACAGTATTTATGTATTTACTTGCTTCACTTCCTCATTCTCTCAGCCCAGGCCATGGTCAAAGTCCGCTCACGATTTTTAACAATAATCTACCAGCCAGTCCGGTCCCAGTGGGAAACAAAGGCTGCACTTTCCTGACCTGGTTCTCAGTGCGTTAAATGCAGTATAACAAATAGGTTAATGGAATAAGTGGATAAATTCAAACACAACTCTTTAGAGACGTGGTAAAAGATTATTAAGACCTTGTCCTTTAGACTTCGGAGAAATAGGGCTTCTGTGACGCACACAGCAGCTACAATGAATAAGAACTGGAAACACAAGGCACTGGACTGGTTCATCTAAATCTAGATAAGAATATCAGACTTGATAGTTGAGTACAAGTCAGACCTTTAGTTAATGTAATTTTCTAATCATCTTATAAAGTTTAAGATATACATGGTGGGATAAATATGTATTTTTATTATGGGGGGTAAATAATGGCAGTGGCAACATGAGTTATATAAATAGATATTGAGGCCAAACCAAATTAAACGGGTCTATTTATATAATTAATATGAATTCGGAGGACAGAAATTATTAAATATTAAAGGATTAGACCTATCACTAAAAGCTTCAGTCATACAAAAGTTATACTGAAATCCAAACTGGTTCTCTAGCAAATTAGTAAGATTGTCTCACCCTATGTTCAAGAATGGCCTTTTTCCCTTTATTCAGATTACAACCTCTCACTTTCAGTAATTTGAAAAGGAAATCATCTCCCAAATATCACTATTTCTAAAACAAGCCATAGAAAGTTGGTTGCAATTTCAATTTAATCCTCCAGAAACGACAGAACAAATAATGCAACAAATATTGTGGTTAAACTCAAATATAACACAAAAAAACTATTTTTTGACAAAATGTTTAAAAAAGGTATAATCTTCGTAAATGATATCATCGGTAGGACTGGTGGAGTTATGTCGCACATGAAGCTAACAAAAACATATGGAAATGTCTGCTCTACCCAAAATTACAACCAAATAATTGCAGCCATTACCGCAAAAATGGAAGAGGAAAGTGGAAGGGGGAGAAAGTAAGGAACTTGTCTGTCGGCCTTGCATTAAAGAACATAATTGGTTAAAGAAAACTGTGATAAATAAAAAAGTATACCAGTTTCATTTAAGGACCAAAGGATTGACAGCCATCCCATATAGATTGCAAAATAGTTGGGAAGATATTTTTGACGTACCGATCCCATGGCATAGTGTTTATGAACTGATACGCAAAACGACACCGGATTCAAAACTTAGAATCTTTCAATTTAAATTATTATATACAATTCTTGCTACCAATAGAATGTTATTTATATGGGGGACACAATCTTCCCAGCTCTGCAGATTTTGCTGCGAAGAGACAGAATCATTAGATCATTTGTTTTGGTACTGTACATTTGTAGCTTGTTTTTGGACACAGGTCCAGGAATGGCTAAAGGATTGCAATATTTACCTGGAGCTAACCTTGCAGATAGCATTACTGGGTGATCTGAAAAGTCATAGTCAATCGATCAATAATATAATAATACTTTTAGCAAAAATGTTTATTTTCAATTTACAATCTGTAGAAACAATGAGAATAGAAAGGTTCAGAACTTTTGTAAAACATCACAGTACAGTTGAAAAATATATGGCAAATAGAAATCCAATATGGATGGTGTTAAGAGATAGATGGGTGGTGTTGAATGGAGTTGAAGGATGGGACTAATAACTAACAACAACTAATAACAAGATAACTAATAATGTAAGCATACTGTGTCCATAATAAGTATATAGGTTGTAGGTTGGGAGCTTTTGTGAAAGAGCACAGTTAGAAAGATATGGCATATAGAAGCAAACCGGATGGACATCATGAAAATGATCGGAGAAGTTGAGAGTAGAAGTAGTTCAGGAGAAAAAACAAACAAAATATATTTATTGTAAAATTGACTGTATGTATGTATGTATGTATGTATGTATGTATGTATGTATGTGTATGTACATTGAGGGAAAAAAGTATTTGATCCCCTGCTGATTTTGTACGTTTGCCCACTGACAAAGAAATGATCAGTCTATAATTTTAATGGTAGGTTTATTTGAACAGTGAGAGACAGAATAACAACAAAATCCAGAAAAACGCATGTCAAAAATGTTATAAATTGATTTGCATTTTAATGAGGGAAATAAGTATTTGACCCCCTCTCAATCAGAAAGATTTCTGGCTCCCAGGTGTCTTTTATACAGGTAACGAGCTGAGATTAGGAGCACACTCTTAAAGGGAGTGCTCCTAATCTCAGCTTGTTACCTGTATAAAAGACACCTGTCCACAGAAGCAATCAATCAATCAGATTCCAAACTCTCCACCATGGCCAAGACCAAAGAGCTCTCCAAGGATGTCAGGGACAAGATTGTAGACCTACACAAGGCTGGAATGGGCTACAAGACCATCGCCAAGCAGCTTGGTGAGAAGGTGACAACAGTTGGTGCGATTATTCGCAAATGGAAGATCAACAAAATAACTGTCAATCTCCCTCGGCCTGGGGCTCCATGCAAGATCTCACCTCGTGGAGTTGCAATGATCATAAGAACGGTGAGGAATCAGCCCAGAACTACACGGGAGGATCTTGTCAATGATCTCAAGGCAGCTGGGACCATAGTCACCAAGAAAACAATTGGTAACACACTACGCCGTGAAGGACTGAAATCCTGCAGCGCCCGCAAGGTCCCCCTGCTCAAGAAAGCACATATACATGCCCGTCTGAAGTTTGCCAATGAACATCTGAATGATTCAGAGGAGAACTGGGTGGAAGTGTTGTGGTCAGATGAGACCAAAATGGAGCTCTTTGGCATCAACTCAACTCGCCGTGTTTGGAGGAGGAGGAATGCTGCCTATGACCCCAAGAACACCATCCCCACCGTCAAACATGGAGGTGGAAACATTATGCTTTGGGGATGTTTTTCTGCTAAGGGGACAGGACAACTTCACTGCATCAAAGGGACGATGGACGGGGCCATGTACCGTCAAATCTTGGGTGAGAACCTCCTTCCCTCAGCCAGGACATTAAAAAATGGGTCGTGGATGGGTATTCCAGCATGACAATGACCCAAAACACACGGCCAAGGCAACAAAGGAGTGGCTCAAGAAGAAGCACATTAAGGTCCTGGAGTGGCCTAGCCAGTCTCCAGACCTTAATCCCATAGAAAATCTGTGGAGGGAGCTGAAGGTTCGAGTTGCCAAACGTCAGCCTCGAAACCTTAATGACTTGGAGAAGATCTGCAAAGAGGAGTGGGACAAAATCCCTCCTGAGATGTGTGCAAACCTGGTGGCCAACTACAAGAAACGTCTGACCTCTGTGATTGCCAACAAGGGTTTTGCCACCAAGTACTAAGTCATGTTTAGCAGAGGGGTCAAATACTTATTTCCCTCATTAAAATGCAAATCAATTTATACAATTTTTGACATGCGTTTTTCTGGATTTTTTTGTTGTTATTACATTTACATTTTAGTCATTTAGCAGACTCTCTTATCCAGAGCGACTTACAGTTAGTGAGTGCATACATTATTTTTTTATTTTTCATACTGGCCCCCCGTGGGAATCGAACCCACAACCCTGGCGTTGCAAACGCCATGCTCTACCAAATGAGCTACATCCCTGCCAGCCATTCCCTCCCCTACCCTGGACGACGCTGGGCCAATTGTGCGCCGCCCCATGGGTCTCCCGGTCGCGGCCGGCTATGACAGAGCCTGGATTATTCTGTCTCTCACTGTTCAAATAAACCTACCATTAAAATTATAGACTGATCCTTTCTTTGTCAGTGGGCAAACGTACAAAATCAGCAGGGGATCAAATACTATTTTCCCTCACTGTACATACACACACATACATACATACATACATACAGAGGGGAGAACAAGTATTTGATACCCTGCCGATTTTGCAGGTTTTCCTACTTACAAAGCATGTAGAGGTCTGTAATTTTTATCATAGGTACACTTCAACTGTGAGAGACGGAATCTAAAACAAAAATCCAGAAAATCACATTGTATGATTTTTAAGTAATTAATTTGCATTTTATTGCATGACATAAGTATTCTCCATGGAGAATAAGAGCACCTCCTCCCAGCAGCCCACTGCACTGAGGCTAGGAAACACTATCACCACCGATAAATCTACAATAATCAAGAATTTCAACAAGCATTTTGCTACGGCTGGCCATGCTTTCCACCAGGCTACCACTACCCCGGTCACCAGCTCTGCACCCTCCGCTGCAACTTGCCCATGCCCCCCCCCGCTTCTCCTTCACACAAATTCAGACAGC